AAGGACCAGAAGGATTTACTAGAGGAAGAATTAGTCAGGACAGCAGTCTTTCTTTTAATAAAATTCCGCTTGGCCCTACGAAGAATAGCCTTACAACGATTCCTAGAAGTAATAAAAGAGGTGTGGGTAATAGGAGAAGGAGATTGTTTCATAGCTCGATATGCCCTATCTCTCACCCTGCAAGCAAGAGAGCAGGAGCGATCAAACCATGATTGCAATGTGAAAGTTTTGGTAGAAGATGGGATAAATGCACTCATATTGCCCTGTATAACCCCAGCAATGCTGTCAGCATTCATCCCAACATTCACCCCAAGGAAAGTGGGTGAAGAATTCTCGCAAGGATTGCCAGCTTGCCCTCCGATAGTGCCATAGTTGACGTTTAGAGGGGGGTGGGGGAGGTGGTCGTGCCCAGTTTGATTTAATAGAAATAAGGTTGTGATCAGAAGACCCAAAGGGGGCAAAAATTGAGTATGAATAGTGTGAGGGGTTAGAGGTAAAACAAAGATCAAGGATGTTGATCGTGTCGATCAGGAACGCGTGTAGGGTGTTTGATTATTTGTTCCAAATCATTAAGTAAGGAAAAAGAGAGTGCCTCAGCTCCACCTGGGTCATCCCTTGCAGAGCCAAGCCACTCTCTGTGATGTACATTGAAATCCCCTAGGTAGAGGATCTCGGTGTAGGGGTGTGTGGAAAGCAACGACTCATGGCAAGAAGTGAGATAGTCAAAGAGTTCGAAATAGTTGGTAGAATTGGGAGAACAGTATAGGAAACAAAGAAAAATAGTCACAGTAGGTAGAGATATTTTGAGCCAGATGACATCATAAAGGGGAGATTCAAGACCCGTGAGTCGGGCTATAGGTGTACGTGTATTGCAGTAGGCGCATACACCTCCCTTAGAACGGAAGTAGGTATAAAGGTTGTAGTTAGAGACTTGAAAAGGTTTGGGTGAAGCTGCTTTGGTCAGTTGAAGTTCGGAGAGTAGTGAGAGATCGGGGGAAGAGGTTAATACTGCCGGAGGGGCTTTCGTCACCACACATTAGTACACTATGACTTCACTTTATGACATCAGGCAAGGTTTTAAGATGTAAAAACTGCTAGATAAGTCCTTTTTAGGGCTGAATAAAGCATGATAAAGGACACTGACCTGTATTGGGAGAAGTCGAGGCATCACTGAGGGTGAAGTCCCGACTCCCACCCTCCTCTCTGTTTAGGCCTACAGTTTCCAATCTTCAATTTTCACTTTGGATTTCTATGGTTCCCACATCTCCATTTTCCTATCTATTGTGACCTCATGCTTTATAAATACATATCTTAATCCTAAATTACACACTAAGGTAAGGGTCTGGTTTGCTAGTTCCTGGGTAAATTCATTGGGTTATAATATCAACGCGGCACACCCAAGGCGGCCTAGGCGCCAACCCAAACAAAGCCTAGCATCGTATTTTCATGGCGTGGGTATACAAGATATTCTTTTTGAAGCATAGTTTCTAGATCACTTCCAACACTTCACATAGTTCTGATACCTTTATCCTTTTTCCAGATCATTGTTCTCATGTATTTTCATATGATATCTGTGGAAGTTATGTTCGCTACACGTTCACAGACGTAAATAGTATGACCTTCAAACCATGATCCACACTTAGTCCTACAGTACACTAGCCCGGCTCAAGTGGACTTTCCCAATCATCTTATGGATACCCTGAATTCTCCTTAATGCTATGAATACATACAATTAACATTATATAACTGTACCTGGGTACAATACAACACATGGTCTAGTAACATTGAGTAGGTGAGTTATCCTTTAACAGTGTTTCCCGTTTTCTGAGATTCTACAAGCGCGGTGGATTTGAATGTTATATAGCGTAATATGAATTAAATGGGGTTTTTAGGAATGACAATGATGTGCGCAGTACAGGTGGAGGGGGGGAAGCTAAGCTAGCTAGGTATTCATTATTGTAATGGGTGTTAATTTATGTTTGTTAGATGGTGGTGTTATTTGTTCACATATATGTGTAAAGTGGGTCTTGTTCTTCTATGTCAGCATGGAGGCTCTTGGGCCACCAGCTGTGTGTTTTAGTAGTTCCTTCTTCTTTTAACTGGGAGAATAATGGGTCCTCCATCTCTTCAAGTTTGCTCCATATTCTCTGTGCTTGGCTGTGTGTACGTGTGTTCAGTGGTTCGATATTGTATAATTCGTGAAGTTCTTGTATTTTGGTGGTGTATGGCGGGAGTTGCTTTGATGCTCTACGGATAGCTTTGTTTTGTACTGATTGAAGTTTAAGTTGGCTGGATTTGCTGATCGTGCTGGGTGGTATTGGTGGATACTCTAGGTGAGGGCGGACAAGTGCTTTGAATAGATGTAGTTGAATTTTGGTGTCCATTTTGCGAAATCTTCGTAGTTTCGTGAGTTGTGATTGGGCAATCTGTTTGCGTTGTGTTACGTGTTTTGCTATGCCTGTTCTAGTTATTGTGAGTCCCAGAATTTTGCCTTCGTTTGAGTATCGTATAGGTACGTTGTTGACTGTGATTGGTGCAGGGTTTATTTTGGCAATGTGTATTAACTTTAGTTTCTGTGTATTGGTTTGTATTTTCCACTTTTTTTCATATTCGTTGATTTGCTCGATGGCGTGGGCTGTTTTCCGTGCCATCATCTGTTTGCCCTTGCCTGGATGTCGGATGATTTGGGTGACGTCATCAGCATAAGCTACGTATTCTCCGTGTATAGGAGGTGGCATGTCCGCCGTGTATATTGTGTAGAGTGTGGGCGAGAGGTTACTTCCCTGTGGAACTCCGCTGTATAACTTGATGCTTGGGCCTATGTGGTTACCAATGATAATTTTGGCCTCTATTGTCGAGGAAGTTACAAAGAAAGGAAGTAAAGTTGTTGGGAAGTTCTTGGGTGGTAATTTTGTATTTGAGCCCTAGGTACCAGACCTTGTCGAATGCTTTTGCTACGTCCCTTAATACTACGTTACAGTGTTCCTTGTTGTGCATCGCGTTTGCTATGTTTTCGTAAATTAGGGCTAAGCCTGTATGGGTTCCTCTGTGTTTTCTAAATCCGTGCTGCCTGAGGTTGTACTTCTCTTCAGTTCGAGGTGTATTCTCAGTCGGTGGTTAATTATTTTTTCTAGGACTTTTCCCGGTGTTTCTAGAGGAGAGATTGGTCTGTAATTTGATACTTGGATTGGGGATTTACCTTGTTTTGGTATAAGTCTGATGCTTGCTGTTTTAAATTTCCTTGGGAAGTAGCCAGAGGCAAGTGCTACATTAAAAATGTTTCTGAGTTGGAGTATCATGTTGATTGGTAGATGCTGGAGTATGGGTTTGTTTATTTTACTGATGCCCGGAGCCTTGTTCTTGAAACTGTTTATTATTTTGTGAATTTCCTCTGCGGTGATTGGTTTGATTAGTGTGGAAAAATCGTCGAGAGCGTTTATGTCTATGCTGGGACTTGGTTGCCAGATGTGGGTTGTGTGTGTCATGTGATTGGTTACTTGTTGCTCGGTGTTCAAACAGAAGTTCAGGTTGTCTTCCTGGCTTATTTGAAAAATTTTGCTCCAATATTTCCTGAATTCAGGTTCTTGCTCTTTGGGTTCAGTTAATTTGATTTGGTTGCTATTTAAAATGTAGTTTGATTCGTTGCTGGAGATTCCCATTAGGTTTTTAATTTTTCGCCAGAATTCTTTCGGGTTGTGGTAAATTGCTTCTGTGTCTGCTATTAATTTCTCCCAGTTATTCACGTATGCTTCTTTGGACATGTTTCTTAGTTGTTCGTGTATGGTGTAATATTGTATTCTGTATTCTGGCGTCCATCCTTGTTCTATGATTAATATGAATAAATTACTGAATTGTGTCAGCAGAATTCTTGATTGATGTGAGTATTGGGGTTGTGGTAATGTACGGTGAGTGGTCGTGGGTATGTGGTGTTCCATTGCTTGGATCACGTTTCCGTACCATATCTCCAGTGTGTTGTCTATTTGGGAAGTGTGTTTGTTGTTTAGTTGGGTTATTTGGTGGTTGCTTAACTCCTTTTGGAATTCCTCCCAGTTGGACCGGCTGTCGCTGTATCTCATCCTGGCAGGGATCTGTGTTGGCGACGTGGAGAGTGTGGCTACGATAGGGAGATGGTCACTGGTGGTTATTGGGCCGGGTTCCATTTGCAGGTTAAGATGGTGATGCTGGTTTGTTAGTACTATGTCTGGATGTCCGATTTGACCTGCTCTGATGTATGTGGGGAATTCCGGGCCAAGGTGTATTGCGTTGCCGTGACTCAGTAATGTGTTTAAAATCTTGCCCACGGCGTTGTTATCCTGGTGCCCCAAGACGCGATGTCGTGCATTTAAATCACCCAAGAAATATGCTGGTATGTTTCTTCTCAGGAGTTTGAGCATGTCTGCTAGTGGGAATATGGGTCTTCTCGGAGGGAGGTAACAGGTGCCGATTATAATAGGTCCTGTTGGGCAGTTAATTTCGATCGCCAGAAAGTCTTCTTGAAATGAGTCGTGTATCTTGTGTTGTATGTTTCGTTTGATGGCTATGGCAATTCCATCATGTTGTGTGTCTTGATTGTTTTTTTGGTAGACTGTGTAGTTAAATATTTTTATTTTTTCTGAGTTTTTCTTACCAAGCGAATTTATGAGGATAATATCTGGGTCTATGTTACGGTATGTGTTATACAATTCGCTTGCTCTCTGTGGGATCCATGCTAAGACATTATGCTTGATTATTTTAAGCTTATTTATTATGAAGGCTGGTGTCTAGAGCTGGTTTGCGCCATTTTTGCTGACCGGTGCTCCCCTGACTCCCTCCTGTCCAGGCCCAGGCGGATCTTTCTACGGTATATGTTGTTTGATCAACTCTCTCTATTCTGTTGTGTCTTGTGAGTATTCTTCCTATCTTGATTAGTGTTTCAATATGTGTGTCATCTAGGTCTTTGTCTGAGTATGTGTATTTAATTTTGCCTTGCCTTATTTCTGCTAATAGTCTTTCTGTTGAGACTATGGGGGGAGCTATAGTGGAGTAAAATCGTATACCAGTTTCATGCCTTAGGTTTTTGTTCTCCGTGGTCTCTCTGGGAGCAGGTGGTGCCATAGTTCCTGCTTGATTCTATTTTTGGGTGTTGACTCAGGCGGCTTGTTCTGTTAATGTGGTGGTTTCATCTTCGCTTGCGTCATCCATCGATTCTTCCTCGCTTGCTGGCTCGGGTTGTATGTCTGAGGTAGTCTGTTCGTGAGTTGATGGTTCGTGAGTTGATGGTTCGTGAGTTGATGGTTCTTGAGTTGCAATGCTCTCTGGTTTGTATATTAAGTTGAAAATTTCAGTAGAAGGCACATCGTTTGGGAATTCCATGTCTGGGAGGTTGTTGGCGACGAACATGTCCCTTGCTGCCTTGGCAAAAGTTCCAGGTCTGGCTATATTCATGATGTGGGCGTGGGTTATGGAAGTCATTATTTTTACGGAAAGATTATTTCCAAGCTGAAGCAAAATAGGTTGCTTTGCGGGGGGTGGTGTGGCGACTTTTTTGAGGACCTTTGTCGTTTCTCTGGTTAGTTTTGTCACAGCTGAATATGTCCTGTTTCGCTGTTCCTGCGTCTTCTCCCTCTCCTTCTTTTGGTTGACTATTGCTTTTCGTATGGGGCAGCGAGTAGCCAGTGTTCTGTGATCTCCTTCGCAGTTTAGGCATTTGGGGGTATCTTTTTTTTGCACTCTCTAAAGGTGTGTGCCCCTTGTTCCCGCATTCTGAGCAGTGCTTGGTGTCCTTGTTAGGGCAGTCTGTAGCCGTGTGTGAATATTGGTAGCAATTCCAGCATGGAATAATGGGGAAGAATTCCTCCTGCTCCACCTGGCTGCTGCTGACATGATAGTAGGAGAGACAAAGTCCCTCCTGGATTGCTTTTTGGGCCATGGCTATTTCCGTGAATCGTATTTTGAGCATGGATGGCAGTCTGGGCAGCTTGACCACTTCCTCCACCTTGGCCCATTCGTTTCTGTCTTCTATATCAGATACCAATTGCTGTTCACTTGATTCTTCGGTGATTGCTTTATCTAGTCGTTTGACCACAATTGATTTCCTTGCTCGGAGTTGAGGAGGGACTGCAACTTCAAATTTTGCTGACTTGAGTTTCCTTGTGCTCTCGTTCGATAAGAGCAAGTCCACATCATTCTCAGTCAGGCACAGGGCGATGAAGGAGTCCTTGGTCGTGATGAGGTTAGATATTTTGATCAGTAGGGTTTGTTACGAACCCCGCCATCAATTGTCATGATCTACCTACCCAGCACTACGAACCACGCCATCTATTGTCCTGATCTACCTACCCAGCACCACGAGCAACGCCATCTAGGGACGAAACACGAGTATGACTCGTCTTAGTTACCACTCCGGGGTTTCCCTTCTCCATATCCTGGTTGTTGCGTCACTTCCTCCAAGTCTTCTTTGTCAGCTCGAGTTCGAGGAGAGTTCACTTCACTCTGGGAAGTGACCACAGGATCACCTATCCTGGAGACCTACGGCACAGTGACTACCTACCGTCTTCTACAATACTCAGCCTTGCTCGTCAGCCATCTCAGCTCCTCACTTAAGTATTTGTAATCTTGTATTGCCTCCCCCACGTCCACTTGCTTCAAATTGTTGTATGCTGTATAAATATGTATATACTGTTAATGTTTAGGTTAAGTATGGTTAAGGGTAAATTATAAAAAGCTGAATATTTTGTTAAGGAATTTATGGTACTTTATTATACACAACAAAAACTCGCATCCTTTGTCTACCCTTTTATAGTCCGATTGTCTTTGTTTTTTGTTGTTGTTGCCTGTTGGGATCTGGGTAGACTTTTAACTATATTCTAAATCCCCAACTCGTAACAGGTCTCACAAGAGCAAGATACAGTTTTAGGATGACCTCGCTAGTCTTGTAACTAACACTCCTTTGTATGAACCCAAGTACTTTATTAGCCTTGTTACGAGCAAAAACACATTGTTTACTTGGCTTAAGGTTCCTACTTATCATTACTCCTAAATCTCTCTCGCAGTTGGATTTCTCTATGGCATCGTTGTTCATCTGGTATCTGGTTTCCCTGTTTACATCTCCTATACAGAGTACTTTACATTTGTCGACTTTGAATTTCATCTGCCATTTTTCAGACTATTCGAAAAATTTGTTTAGATCTTCCTGTAGTTTTGCCGAGTCCTCGTCAGATTTGATAACACGTACTATTTTAGTGTCGTCAGCAAATTTACTTATGTTGCTGTCTATGCCGATATCTATGTCGTTTATGTATATAATAAACAATAATGGTCCAAGTACTGAGCCTTGGGGAGCTCCACTTGTGACGTTGCTCCAGTGGGACTTAGTGCCGTTAATGCTCACTCGCTGTTTCCTGTCCTGTAACCACGCCCTAATCCATTTAAGGATGTCACCTTTGATGCCATGAGCTTCTACCTTTCTAATTAGTCTTTCGTGGGGGACTCTGTCGAAGGCTTTGCTAAAGTCGAGATATACCACATCATAATTGTGCCCCTCGTCCACCTATTCGAAAACTGATGAAAAGAATGTTAATAGATTAGTGAGGCAAGAACGTCCGCTTGTGAAGCCATGCTGGGAATCATTGATCAATCCGTGCTTCTCCAGGTGATTTCGAATAGAGTTTGAAATGATTGCTTCCAGTAATTTGCCTACTATTGATGTTAGACTGATTGGGCGGTAGTTAGAGGATAGTGATCTATCCCCCTTCTTGAAAATCGGTATTACATTCGCTATCCTCCAGGATTCTGGTACTAGACCTGTTTTTAAGGACATGTTAAACAACTTTGCTAAGGGCATACTAAGCTCTTCCTTACATTCCTTTAATACTCTGCAAATATCTCATCGGGACCAGGTGACTTATTAGGCTTTAGTTTGTCTATTTGCTTACTAACATCGTTACTAGTCACTACTATCTCGCTTAATTTGTTTTCTTCACTATCTCTGAATAGAGTCGGTGCCTCCGGGTATCATGTTTAAATTTTCGGTGGTGAAAACTGTTGAAAAATATTTATTCAAATTATTGCTCATTTCTCTGTCGTTATCAGTGAGCTCGCTGGAGTCTGACCGTATTGGTCCAATCTTTTCTCGTGTTTTAGTTTGATACATTTGGTAGAATCCTTTGGGGTTTGTCTTCGCCTCCCTTGCTATCCTTACCTCATTATTCCTCTTTGCTTTCCTTATCTCGGTTTTAACCCTACTCACCAATACCCTATAATAGTCCCGGAGGTGAATTTCGCCACGATTTATCCTTCTACCTATAGCCTTCCTTTGGCTAATGATGTTCTTTAAATAATTATTTATCCATTTAGGGTCATTGTTGTCTGATCTGAGTTTTTTGTATGGTATGTTCTGCCTTTGTGCATTAAGTAACTCGCTATTAAAATTGTGGTGGAACTCGGCAATCTCAGATCTCGTTATCAGGTCGGTGTCATCTGTCAGGTTCACGGCCAAGCGCGACACCCCCTCTCTCAGCTGCCTCTTTAAACTGTGTCCGTGTCCAGGTTTGTGGTGTGTGTGGCGGCCTCCATGACCAGGTGTGTGGTGGGTGTGGTGGCCTCCTTGTCCAGGTGTTTGGTGGGTGTGGCGGCCTCCTTTTCCAGGTGTGTGGCAGCTTCAGTGTCCAGGTGTGTGGTGGCCTCTGTGTCCAGGTGTGTGGTGGGTGTGGCGGCCTCCGTGTCCAGGTGTGTAGCGATCTCCGTGTACAGTTGTGTTGTGGCCTCCGTGTCCAGGTGTGTGGCCCTCCGTGTCCAGGTGTGTGGCGGCCTCCGTGTCCAGGTGTGTGGCGGCCTCCCGTGTCCAGGTGTGTGGCGGCCTCCGTGTCCAGGTGTGTGGCGGTCTCCGTGTCCAGGTGTGTGGTGTGTGTGGCGGCCTCCGTGTCCAGGTGTGTGGCTGCCTCTATGTCCAGGTGTGTGGTGTGTGTGCCAGCCTCCGTGTCCAGGTGTGTGGCGGCCTCCGTGTCCAGGTGTGTGGCGGCCTCCGTGACCAGGTGTGTGATGGGTGTGGCAACTTCCGTGTCCAGGTGTGTGATGGGTGTGGTGGCCTCCGTGTCCAGGTGTGAGGCGGCCTCCGTGTCCAGGTGTGTGGCGGCCTCCGTGTCCAGGTGTGTCCGTGTCAGTGTGGCGGCCTCCGTATCCAGGTGTGTGGCGGCCTCCGTGTCCAGGTGTGTGGTGTGTGTGCCGGCCTCCGTGTCCAGGTGTGTGGCGGCCTCCGTGACCAGGTGTGTGGTGAGTGTGGTGACCTCCTTGTCCAGGTGTTTGGTGGGTGTGGCGGCCTCCGTGTCCAGGTGTGTGGCGGCCTCCGTGTCCAGGTGTGTGGCGGCCTCCATGACCAGGTGTGTGGTGGGTGTGGTGGCCTCCTTGTCCAGGTGTTTGGTGGGTGTGGCGGCCTCCTTTTCCAGGTGTGTGGCAGCTTCAGTGTCCAGGTGTGTGGTGGCCTCCGTGTCCAGGTGTGTGGTGGGTGTGGCGGCCTCCGTGTCCAGGTTTGTAGCGATCTCCGTGTACAGTTGTGTTGTGGGTGTGGCGGCCTCCGTGTCCAGGTGTGTGGCGGCCTCCGTATCCAGGTGTGTGGCGGTCTCCGTGTCCAGGTGTGTGGCTGCACTTGATAGAAGGTTGTCATCAGATAAGTGGCAGTGCCTGGCCCTGTCCTGGTAGGTGCCTTCCTGCCTGTCAGCTCCTCCCCCACCAGGAAGTATGGGCTCTCTCAGGGAATCATTATCTTCCATGTCTCTGAGGGCTTCCCTTGATGATGGCTGAATGTTATAACTGACAGATCTGCCAAGGAGTAGTATTAATATCACGATGATGGACAGGGTGAACGTTAAGATTAAATAAGTCATAAACTGGTTCCAATAGATGATTGTTGTCGTCTCAGGAGGTAGAGAAGGTGGCGTAGGTGCCGTGGGTTGCTGACAGGTGGAGGATCCACTAAACTCCTCCTCGGTCGCCGCAGCCATCGTTAGAGTGCCGTTCACCTTCTGCAGGGTGACCTTTGTGCCCGGAGAAATCCTCAGGTCAGTGCTGTTCATCGGAGTGATCATGGTCTCTCTGATGAACACCGATGTATTCTGCCCAAGTCTAACTTTTTCCATACGTATGCAAATAATCGTGGAAGTCAAGAAATGTAAATTGGCATTGGCACTTGTCCATACCTCCTCTATGTGGTCTATAGTGGATGATGCCACTTTCAGTATCGCAGAGTCGTGTAAAGGTGCGATGGTCCTGAAAAACTTTATGTGCGAATTAACAAGAGAGACGTGTTGTATACACGGCTGGAGTTCCATGTAGGTCACCTTGGAGCTGATAACTGTGAGGTGCATCACATTGGAGGGGATGTTTGTGACGGTACTTTTAAAGATTTGGAGATTGCGTAGGGTGCAGTTATCTGTATGTGTAGACTTGCTGACCGTCGATACCAGTACCTTGCCTGCTTCATAGATGATCATATTTTTCAGACTCATGACGTGTGAAAGATGAAGGACTGATGGGTCAATGATCTTCACTGTTTGTGACGCCTTCACTTTGTCTTCTAGAAACAAGGACTCCTCCACGTACACAGGCTGGGTGGAAAAGTGAAAAATAAATTAGTACAGCATGACACCTATTATATCAAGTGCTGAAACATTGTAAATACACTAAATAGAAAAACCAATGAAAACTTCATATCTCTAGATTCACTGATGGTTCATACAAAGGAGTGTTAGTTACAAGACTAACGAGGTCATCCTAAAACTGTATCTTGCTCTTGTGAGACCACACCCGGATTACGCAGTTCAGTTCTGGTCACCGTATTACAGAATGGATATAGAATCCTTGGAAAGAATTCAGAGGAGAATGACAAGACTAATCCAGGGCATTAGGAACCTTGAGTATAGAGACAGGTTAGAGCATCTTAATTTGCACTCCCTCGAGAGACGTAGAGCGAGGGGCGACCTGATAGAGGTGTATAAGTGGAAGGCAGGGCTAAACAAAGGGGACATTACAAAGGTACTCAAACTATCTGTGTAATATGGACACGAAGTAGTACCTTAAGCTGTGTATACTTATATTACCCTATTAATTATGTATAGTAAAGTATTACAGAACATGTATTAATTCTATGAAATATTTCCATTTATTATGCACCATGTTATGTATATAAATTATCATATTTACATTTTATGTATTCAGCTTGTGAATGCTGGCATCTGTACAGGCCAGCGCGCAGTAATACATAGAGTGGAGACAACCAGTCCCTCAAGTGTGGAAGCGAGCTTCTTGGTCCATCTGTATATATCTCCCGAACGAGAATAAGAACCTACTTTTAAGATAACAAGTGTTTTTGTATACCCTCAGTAGTGTAGAACATTTTGGGGGTATCAAAGTCGAACATAGACTATCCAACCAGGAGCGAACTTGTAACAATGGTTTTAAATTAGACAAATTTAGATTTAGGCGTGAAATAGGTAAACACTGGTTTGGAAACAGAGTAGTGGATGAATGGAACAAGTTACCAAATATCATCATTAACTCGAATACGCTGAATAGCTTCAAACATAGGTTGGATGCTTATATGAGCAATTGGGGTTGGGTATAAACGGGACTGCCCAGTATGGGCCAATAGGCCCGCTGCAGTTTCCTCCATGCTTATGTTCTTATGATGCACATGGTGGGAGAGAAGTTCCCTACAGTACATAAAAATATAAGAATGGGGGAACCGCAGCGGGCCTATTGGCCCAACTCTTATCACTCATATATCCGACCATCTATACTTAAAACTTTTCAAACCAATCTTTACCTATCTCGTGCTTAATTCAAAATTTGTCTAATTTAAAATCGTTGTTACGAGTTCGTTCCTGGTCGGATAATTTAAGTACCTTTGTTTAACCCCGACTTCCATTTATACACCTCGATCCTATCGCCCCTCACTCTACGTCTCTCTAGGGAGTGCAAATTATGATGCTTTAATCTAGCTCTATCCTAAAGGTTCACAATGCCCAGGATTAGTCTGTCATCTTCCTATGAATGCTTTCTAGGGATTCGACATCCATTCTGTAGTACGGTGACCAAAACTGAACTCCATAATCCAAGTGAGGTCTCACAAGCGCAAAATATAGTTTTAGGATAACCTCGCTATCTTGTAACTAACACTCCTCTGAATGAACCAAAGTACAGCCATGTTTCGAGCAAATACACATTGTTGTCTTGGTTTAAGATTTTCCTACTTATCATTTCCCCTAAATCTTTCTCACAGACAGATTTCTCTATATCAACGTTGTTCATCTGATATCTGGTTTCTCTGTTTACATCACCTAGGCTAAGTACTTTACATTTGTCGACATTAAATTTCAGCTGCCGTTTTTCAGACCATGCGAAAATTTTGTTTAGGTCTTCCTGTAGTTGTGCCGAGTCCTCGACAGATTTAATTACACACTCTATTTTAGTGTCGTCAGCAAATTTACTTATGCTGCTGTCTCTGCCTCTGCCTCTATCTATGTCGTTATTATATACAATAAATAGTTATGGTCCAAGTATTGAGCCTTGGGTTACTCCTCTAGTGACCTTACCCTAATCGGATTTGCTATCATTAATGCCGACTTTGTTTCCTGTCCTGTAAACACACCCTAATCCAGATGAGAGCACCAACATCCGTCTCTTCAGGCGTCTCACTGCTGCATATCACTGACCACATCTCCGGCAGGAAATTCCTGCAGCGCTCGGAGGGGAGGGGGAGTATTGTAGCGGATACTCTCTCCTACATAACCTACGCCACAACATCGTTGAGGTCTATTTGATGCCAATGAAAAGAAGAGGAAAAGCGAAATAGAGGACTAATAGGGGCTTGCCTAAGGTGTTATGTTTGCTTCAAATTCATTAAGACTAATTTAATCACCAATAAACTTATTTATGTTTATATTGACTGACTCGCTTCTTCTAATTCCCCACATCTCGACACCTGGAAACCGTTGTGTATGTTTGGCGTGTAAAGGGGGTAGGCAGTAGACACATGTTTAACTGATGGTGTCAAGGTGCAGATGTGAAGATTGTTTACCTCCTGTGTACCGGTGAAGTTACAGACGAGGTCACTCTTTTGGCTGTGACAGTACGGGGACTTGGGCCCGACTACCAGCCGGGAGGAGAGGGTAGTAGTGGTTGCTGTCTTCTCCACTACGAGAATCAACAACATTATCAGTTGGACGATCACTCTTGCCCACACTACACCCCGTTCTCCCTTCTCTGGTGAATTAAAGTTTAAAGTTTAGCACACAAGGTAGATCCAGGAATATTATAGTTGGAACAAGGTAGGGGTGTGAGGATTTTATCTATCACATTCTTTCATTCTAATGGGGTCGAGGAGGTCTTGCTACTCCAGGAAATTTTGGAAATGAGATACTAAGAAGCTCCTGCGTTTTGGGATATCATTCTGTCAAGATGGCTGACGCAGAATGATAACCGCAGATCAAATGCCAAGGGGTGAAGGATATAAAATAACGCCCACTGACTACCTTTGGGCTATGAACAACAAAATACTGACATGGGCCTGCAAATTTGACACTCTTGCATTTTCCATTTGTGAAGGTTAATTAGATAAAAACTCATAATTTTGATATTTAACCGGTGAAATTTGTCTTTGTGATGGTGTAGCCTCTTATCACGAGTCAGCTCCTAGTACTTTATACTGGTGCTGTATTGTAATATAATATGGGTCTACTGTATCATGCTACCTGTTCTAACTGCATTTTGTAAGTAGGCACTTTAAGTTGTATTGGTGAGAAATGAGAAAAGTTAAATGTTCCACTGCAGGCGTGTGAAGCGACGCCTTTCCAAACATTTTAGTAAACTTATTTGATAAGTTCATTACTACGTCATTGTGTTTATCTTTTCTTATTTTTAGATTTATTGTTAATAATCTCATAAATTCCGTTTAACTTTCATCTTATTGAATATTGTGTATACTAGCACAGGTATCTGCTACTTGCACTGTTGTTTATACAAGTCTAAAGAGGCTCTTCAAAATCACTTTCACATCACATACGAGTACATCTTCACCTTTTTTTAAGTCTATAATCCATTTTGTTCATAATAATTATTACGGTCATATTCTATTTCTTCCTTAATAATGTCTTTTATATTGAAAACATTTTCTTTAACATTTATCTGTATCCTATTTGTTCATTCAAAATTAATTTGGTTTTGTATCTCACCCGTAGGTTTACGCAGTTGGCTTTTTATATAATCAACAAATATCAATTTCTATACTTCTGGTGTTTGAGTATTGTAATTTATTCCCCTTAATTATTCGCTCTAGACTGCATCAGCTGTGAACAAAATAGTTTAGAAATATACTTAAAAGAAATCCAGCCTCTTACTCTGCCACGACATAAACTTAGCAAGTACCATCTCCCACCACTGTTAAGAGTAACTGACACGAGGACATAAATAATTCGAGATAGTGTGGACTCTTCATTGCCGCATTTTTTCTTAATATTGTATTATGATTTATAATAAAACCATACTGTACAAATTAAAACAAAATATTTGTTTAAACTATCCACCACTCTTACACTGGTCTTAACCATGAAACTCAGCCGACGAGGTTTCACGTCTATAGAAGAAATATTTATCGATTTTAAGAACCTTTGGAAATCCTAATCCTGTGTTATATACTCCTTGTCTTCCCGCGTCTCTCAAACATGGCGGTTCTGGCAAGGGTTTTGTTAAATAGCTTGGCCTTTAACTTTTGATTTTAGTTATTTGGAGAAGACAAAATGATAATGATGGAAGTTCTGCTGCAAGGGACAGGTGGAACATGCACAGTATAACACTGATAACAAACAAAGAATAGATAAGGAGGGTGAGGGACAGCTGTTTTGTCAGATGTGGAATCTGTTGAAGCACGTTAATGCATTATAACAACGATCACTCATCAATAACTTATGTGTATGTCATGGTCTTGTACTCTGTTCCCTCTGAGCCTCGTTCACAAACACAAAATGAAATGAAAGACGAGAGTTGATAATAACATAATTTTATTGTTAATGTGTTGGAACATTAATAGTCTGCTATTAAATCTAAGACGTAAAATTCTTACAAAAAAAATGACAACAAAGTAACATGACCAGAATCTTATGCCAGGTAGCCTTTAGTGGCTGGCCCGTTGTGAGATATGGCAGCTCTATAAAATACTTATCTAGCATCCCTAGGCTACTATTGCGAGGGTCCGGATGGCCATTCCGGGAGGTTTTCAATATGATGTAATTGTAAACAAACACAGAGGTGCCACATCTCACAAAACGGGCCAGTCACTGTACCACGTAAAAGTGCAGGCGACAGTACATATCAATTCTCACTATTATGACCAGTGGTAAATTCTTGATTGATAGGAACAAGTTCAATCTGACAAAATTAAGTTGGAACTGAATTACAAAATGAAACGACTCTGTGGGGACATATATGTATTATTACTGGTATGTGCTACTAACTGTTAAAATTTAAGTTGTTTACTATATTGTGCTCTCTTCCGTACACTGTCACTGAGATATGTTTGTTTATTTGATGATGGTGTGTGTAAGGAGGTGTGTGGTGGTGTCTGTGGCTGTTGTTGGTCATCGTCTCCTACGGCCTCAACGCTGTGACTTCTTCTTTCTCCCTCCTTGTTCAAGTTGCTTCCAGTAAAAGATGAAATTTCAGTGTTTCTGTGTTGCGACTCAGCTGCAGGTAGAGTCTTACGTTCTTCCAGGAGCTGTTCTGATTCGAGTTTGGTATGAGTGGGGGATTTAATTTTATCTCGTTTTCTGGGTTGACTATGCATACAGACACCATTGCCTTTCTCTACTATATTTTTGCCATATTTAATACATTTGAAACACACGACTATGCAAAAAAGGACGATCAAAAGGACTAAGCAAATGATAAATCCCACAAGGTAATAGGTTGTGTGGTGGGCAGGCAGGTGTTGGATGGCATTAGTCTTCTTAGCAGCGGCCAACTGTATTACGGTAAGTTTGCCCTTCATATTGTTCAGAATGACCTTCACGCCGGAAGATATCCCAAGCTCAGGACTATTTATCGGCATGAACCCACTTTCTCTGATATCAAGAGTTGTATTCTGCCCAAGTTTTACGTTTTCCATTCGCACAGAAGTGATGTTGGTAGTCAAGAAATGTATCATGGCATTGGCACTTGTACGTAGCTCCTCTATGTGGTCTATAGTGCACGACGCCACGTTCACTACAGCATCGCGCAATGGTGAGCTGGTCCTGAAAAACTTGATGTGCGAATTGATAAGAGAAGCACGTTGTATACACAGCGGGAGATCCAAGTAGGTCACCTTAGAGCTGACCACAGTGAGGTGCGTCACACTGGAGGGGATGCTTGTTACGGTGCTGTTGAAGATGAGAAGTTCTTGCAGGTGTGTGCAGCTTTCTGTTTTTGTTGCTTTGTCTTCCGTTACTAGCACCAGGTATGTGTTGCGGATGCTCATTTTCTCCACGCAAGTGACGTCTGGAAGATGAAGGATAGGTGGACTTATCATCTCCACTTTCCGTGACGTTGATAAGTCCGCTCTTTTGCCTTCTACAAACAATGAATCTTGCACATATACAGGCTGTGTGGAAAAAGAAAAGTAAACGATAAAAGATAATGACACGTCGGTATTCTATTATCTTGTCTGAAACACTTGGAATAAATTTATCACGAAAACCATCAAATGTGGTTCACGTAACTTCTACATTCTGTTGTTATACAGCAAGACATTTTGTCTTTTACCCTTCCACAGTTATTTGTAGCCGTCGATGACGACTAATCCTACCTACTATTTTCCGGACTTAAAAAAAAACCCTGTTGACTTACGAGTATACTGTATACAGCACATGCAGTTATGAATAGCGTAAGTTTTATCCTCTTGCTTCCCAGGAGGATGAGAGTAAAATTTTTAACATAAATATTTCCAAGATTTTTTTTATCATTCACGATATTTTAGAGGCAAGAGAGAAACTAGCAAGGTGCAGCAGTGATGCGCGAAGATATCTAACCTCTTGTGCATCCGTAAAGTTACAGACGAGACCACTCTCTTGGCTGCGACAGTACGGGGACTTAGGCCCCACTACCAGGCGGGAGGAAGAGGAGGAGGTGTTGATTTTGGTGGGGGCGGCAACCGTCAGAACCATTGCCATCATCTGGACGTACACTCTTAGCCACACTACACCCCGGCCTGGTGAGGCGAAATATAAGGTGATACTAACAAATGAGAAATGATCAGTGAAATATTATCTTACAATATGTCTAATAATTATAAATGGTAAGGGTAAAATTTGGATTGGTAGGTGAACCACATGAAATTTTGCAAACTAAAAATGCTGTTCCTCCCCCGATGTGGGTCATCGACCCACATCGGGGCTTGGGAGGGGGGTGATAAGAGTAAGAGTAAAAAGAAATTAAAAATAGAAAATAAGAATATTATATTAATCTACATCACGAAGATGCCAGAAAACAAGCTTTTTGAAGTGAGACATTTTAAGAGTATGGAAACACAGACGAAGGCAGAACATTCCACAGTTTGGCTGTGTGGCCGACATCCACAGAGAAATGGTGGGCACCGCGGGCAAGGCGAGTATTACTTTTTACTTTTTACTTTTATCCTCTTCGCCACTGATCGGCTTGTTAGCCGCTTGGGCGATCGGTCACGTCTCTTTTCCTTTATATTCTTCACCAAAAGGTCGGCTCGCTAGCCGCCCGGGCGATCGGTCACGTCTCTGTCACGCACTGTTGGCAAATACTGGGCATGCACCGGCTCCTGAATGTACCTGAACCCGCTCCAGTGTTGGTCAAGTCTTCTCTTGAAAGAGTTCACACTCGGTGCCGTCACAACACTCTCTGGTAGATTGTTCCAAGAGTTTACAACCCTCACTCCGAAAAAGTTTGCCCTCACGGTTTTCCGGACTTGCGGCTTCTTCAATCTTGAGCTGTGACCCCTTGTGGGGCGAGCGTCCGCCAGCTCCAAGTAAGGACACTCAACTGAGTAGTGCCCCCTGAGATGCTTATAAACCTCAACTAGGTCCCCCCTTGCCCGTCTGTAGTATAAGCTAGGCAAGTTCAGGCGCTCCAATCTCTCAGGGTAGCTGAGATGCCGAAGTGCAGGCACCAGTTTGGTGGCCCTCCTTTGAACATTTTCAACCAACTGACAGTCCCTAGCATATCTCGGGGACCAGATGGGGTGACAGTACTCCAGATGGGGAAGCACTTCACTCCTGAAGATCGTCACGAGGGACGGACCGTCTAGATATCTGAACGACCTTCTTATAAGACCCAATAATTTATTTGCCTGATTTACCTTCTTCTCACAATGGCCCGAGAACTTCAGCTCATTGTCAACATACACACCTAGGTCCTTCTCACACACAGTCTCAACTAGTACATTTTCTTCATCCCGTTGGGACATATGGTACGCCTCCTTACCGTTGGTACGCCCCAGGTGCATCCTCTTACACTTCGTGACATTGAATCTCAGCAGCCATTCCTTCGACCATTCCTGGAGCCCACAGAGGTCCTTCTGCAGCTCTTCACAGTCCGCTTGGTTCTTAATTTCCCGAAATAACTTGGCGTCATCGGCAAACATTTGTATGGAGGAGTGTACAACGTCAGGCATATCATTTATGAAACAAACAAACAACAGCGGGCCCAATACACTACCCTGCGGTACCCCACTTGTTACAGGTACAGATGACGATTTCGTGCCATTAATCACCACACATTGCTTGCGGTCATGTAGAAAGTCTTCTATCCACGCTAGGACATTTCCCCGAATTCCGTACCCTTCCAGTTTGATTTTCAGCCTTTCGTGGGGTACACTGTCGAAAGCCTTGGCAAAATCTAGGTAAATATTGTCGATATTACCACCCCGTTCTAGAATATGGGTCCAAATATCCAATACCTTGAGCAATTGTGTCAAGCAAGAGCGCCCCGGCATAAAACCGTGTTGGCAATCTTTTACAAGGTTGTTTCGTAGTAGATGTTCCATCGCTGCATCTCTGATGTACGAGCCCACGGCCTCGCCAGCGGTACACAGGATGCCAAATCCACCGAACATTGCCCGTTAAAGTACCTGTAGAAGAGAGAGAGTGAAGCAACATTGCGGCGAAGAAAGGGGGAAGAAAGATTATTAACTTAAGGAAGAGAGTTAATAAGACGAAGTGCCTTTGATTCCACCCTATCTAACAGTTGGACAGAAGAGCCATCAAGATATGAGAGCAGTACTCCAAGTTAGGATGAATGAATCCCTTATAAACGTGAAGCAACTGCTCAGGAGTGAAGTATCTACGGCAGCTGTACAGCATTCTCAGCTTTCGGGAGGCAGCTTTAGCAATGTTGTAGAGGTGTGGCTTCCATGACATAGGAGAGGAAATGGTGAGTCCTAGCATATCTATTATACTGTAGATGAGTTGATATATCCACACGTGCCCCTCACTGTTATCAGTGGTATGCGGCAACCGTTAACACTCGTCACTGCCGGCTGGTGATAACACTTCCCTCCCCCAACACCGCCCCTAACCCCCACGTTAGGTACATGTTACCAATCTGCCGCCAGTTACAAGAGCTCTCACCCGGGCGGGGGGTTGGGGGGTGGGGGGGGGGTGGGAACTTTTATGAGTGACTGCATGTAGTGCTGACACCTGCTAATGCTCATTACTTTAAAATTTATCTACATTTTATCAAAACTAATACAGGTTTAGGTCTAGGGTAGCAGCCTTAGAAAGTTTTCAAATCCGGAGCTTATACCTACAATAAAATATAAATTAGATCAGAGTACCGTCCTCATATCTAAGGGTTGGCGACCACAGTCCTCCACTCTAAATGTTCCCCGGCTGTTTTTACCAATCCTCCAAGATTTTGTATATCTCTGGGGACCCACTTTCTGGTTTCATATATATATATATATATATATATATATATATATATATATATATATATATATATATATATATATATATATATATATTAGGGTTGCTATATCTGAACATTAAAAAAAGAGGACGTTCCCGAAGACATCATGCCCCCCGCCCTTCCCGACCTGGCACACACTTTGGTGCGATGTAACCTTGATGCAACCGTGACCGTTTTATGCTCTGGAAAAGTACAACAAATCGTAAGCACTAGCTGTGGCACCAAGCGACAAACCCACTACAAAGACTAAGATCAAACACTGTCACTGCAGGTTAAAGACTGGCCAACCACGGGGTCACCGCCATAGTTGTCAACACACGTAAATAATATAGCGAAAGTGGATAGATTATGGTTGAAAATTGCTAAAATGCCTTAAATGCAGGACAAGAAAAACAAATGCTACAGTGTAAAAAAAGCCATAAGAAAAAAATGCTATACTTTCAACATTTCATTTATGGCTGTAATAGCACTAAATACAAAAAAAAATATAATAATGCTCGCGGCTGAAGAACAAGGAAAAGCAGTACATGGCACTACAGTTTACCCCCAAAAACTGCAAGCAGCTAAGTTGACAACACTGTACAGGCGTACACGTGACTTATCAGCTGACGAAAACTGAACAAGATCTCTACTGTTTCCACCTCCCCTATCTCAAAGTCTCTCTCTCTCTCTCTCTCTCTCTCTCTCTCTCTCCCGTCATTACAGTTTCATATTTCTTTCCGTGGAGAAAATGATGGAAGCTGAAATTCCGGACTTTTGAAGAATTTTAAAAATTCCTTCCGGATGAAGATTTCGAGACCTAAATGGAGGACATGTCCGGGAAAATACGGACGTATATATATATATATATATATATATATATATATATATATATCATGGAGTATATCATGGAGTAACTTCCTCATGTAACAGGAACCTAATCTAAACAGGAAACAGGAACTTACTTGGAATGAACATTGTCTTAAAGTATGACAGGAAGCTCCCACACACCATCTCTCCTCACTGACTAAACTCTTAACTGAGCAAGGCAACCTGGGTAAAGGTTAGTTGTGGAATCTCTCTTTTAAATTTAAATGTCCTTAATCAGAGTAACTGACTGGGTCCTTGCTGTAAGTGGAAACAACAACAAAAATAAGGTATGATGTTTAGACGCACATTATCTACAAAGTTCATTCATTGATAAATAAAATAATTACCTTCATACTAAGAGTATAGGAGAACATTAGGATATTTTTTTTCATTTATATTATATTTTGTTCTCAAGTAAAAATTTTACAAATCGTGGTATCAGAGTAATCTTTTTCTCCCAACACCAGCGCTGGGGAGAGGCACTGTGCTGCGATAGTTCCTGTTATAATAAATAAAATACTATTGTGACGTTCGTAGGTGTCGTTTATTACTAAAATATGATAGATACGTCTAGATGTCGTTGGTCTAAGGATGTTTACAGTCTATACAGGAGCAAATTTTGTTCTTATCTTTCAGTAGGTTGTCTGTGTCATTCGTTCAATTTCCCATTGTTCACGGTGTTTGTAGACACTAAAGTTAAGTTGGAATATAAATGGATAATATTTTTGCGTGTGACCAACCGATAGGCGAATTTTATTATTCCAACGTTAATTTTTTTCCTGCATCTGTTGTAAATATATACTGTATATGATGAGGCTTCCTTGATAGTTTCCGCCACTTTGCTGTTTGTCTAGATGCCCGTGTATGATGTTCGACACATGTGGTTCTTAAACTTCTTTTCTCCGTACCTTCTATGAGCTGATCTCTGACCCCCGCCGCCGTGATATACAATTGTAAAGACAAATATTGCATTTAAATAAATTTATTTGGTTTGAAAGTAAAAATGAAACAATGAAATCTTCCAGTATTAACTTTATTTCCTATGACTCATTGTGTAGCCAGTTGTACTGTACGTGTAACTTATATTTCTATGTAAGTCTCGAACAAAAGTCCTCTTGAGCGCCTGTGTCCCCGAACTACAGTAACTAGTCTCAGAACCGAATTGCTAGATTACCCATACATGGCGCTACAGTATCTCATATGGGTTTGGCACGGTTTCGAAAAGGAGTGTAGACATACATTTGTTCGTGGCTGCATATTTTTAGAGTTGTGACATAATAAATTTATGTGGTGCCTGGTACGGTCTAACCCAAAAGTTCGTTAACTCTCCCAGCCAGCTATCGCTGCACTGCCTGCTTCAGAATGTTTGAAACTGTCTCAGTACTAACCAGAACATGATCCGATACGAATGAATCTAAAGGTTCCAAGTAACAGACTCAATATCATACACCTGAAGCAGGCAGTGCAGCAATAGCTGTCTGGGAGGGTTAACGAACTTTTGGGCGAGACTGTACTAGCGCATTTCACTTATAAGAACATAAGAAGAACATAAGAAAATAAGGAGTCTGCAATAGGCCGGTTGGCCTGTGCATGACAGCTCCTGTCGAGAGTTACTACCACTCTCTATCATCCATGAATCTATCTAGCCTCCTTTTGAAACTTTCCAGAGTTCCAGCACTTACTACAAAGTTGCTAAGCTTGTTCCACTCGTCCACCACCCTATTTGTGAACCAGTTCCTTCCTATCTCCCTCCTAAACCTAAACTTATCCAACTTGAATCCGTTGCTCCGAGTCCTATCCTGCTCGGATATTATAAGAACTTTATCTATGTCCCCTTTATTGATTCCTTTCACCCACTTAAATACTATCATATCTCCCCGCACTCTTCGTCTTTCTAGGGAATGCAAGTTAAGTTTCTTTAGCCTATCCTGATATGGAAGGTTTCTAAGTCCCGGAATCATTTTTGTCATTCTTCGCTGCACCGACTCTAGTGAATTTATATCCATTCTATAATAGGGGCACCAGAACTGAACCGCATAATCGAGGTGTGGCCTGACTAGCGCAAGATATAGTTGCAATAAGACCTCTGCACTCTTGTTACTTACACTTCTAGATATAAAACCCAATACTCTGTTTGCCTTATTTCGAACATTAACGCACTGTTTTCTAGGCCGTAGGTCCGGGCTTACAAGTACCCCTAGGTCTCTTTCACAAGTCGACTTCTCTAGGTTGATGTTGTTTAGGCTGTATACATTATAAGTATTTGTTCTTCCAATATTAAGTACGCTGCACTTGCTGGTGTTGAATTTCATTTGCCATTTTTCAGACCACCCCTGCAGTTTATTTAGATCCTCCTGTAATGCATTTGCATCCTGCCCTGAATTAATTTGCCGCCCTATTTTGGTGTCATCCGCAAACTTGCTTATGTCACTGCTGATCCCAGTATCTAGATCGTTTATGTAGATTATGAACAAGAGTGGGCCTAGTACTGACCCCTGGGGAACCCCACTGGTTACACGGCCCCACTCAGATTTAACACCATCTACGCTGACCCTCTGCGTTCTATCGGTGAGCCATGATTTTATCCAATTTAAAACTTTCCCCTCGATACCATGAGCCTTAATTTTTCTCAGAAGCCTCTGATGCGGTACTCTGTCAAATGCTTTGCTTAAGTCTAAGTAAATAACATCGTAATTTTCGTCATTATCTACTACCTCGAAGACTTTCCTAAAAAACGTTAGCAGATTTGTTAGACAAGATTTTCCCTTTGTAAACCCATGTTGAGAGTCTTAGATTAATTTGCTTTTCTCTAGATGCGATCGGATGCTATCTGCTATAATTGATTCAAGAAATTTCCCCACTACTGACGTCAAACTGATCGGCCGGTAATTTGACGCTGATGCTCTGTCTCCCTTTTTGAATATGGGTACTACATTTGCCTGTTTCCACAAGTCTGGCACAATTCCAGTGTCTAATGATTTTGTAAATAAGTTTACGAGGGGTCCGCTAATCTGTTCCCTACACTCTTTCAAGACTCGAGGGAAAATTTCATCCGGCCCTGGGGATTTTGTTTTCTTTAGTTTATTTATCTTCTTAAGAACATCCTCTTTTCTGATAGGGATATTCTTTAATTTCTCTTCTTCCTTTCCCTTAAATATCAGTTCCACCTCTGGAATTTCATAGCAAATTTCTTCTGTGAAAAGTGATAAGAAGTAGCTGTTCAATGCTTTGCTTATTTCTTCACTGCCAATTATCACTTCTACCCTCCCTGACTTTAAAGGCCCAACTTTGTCCTTGACCTTTGTCCTATATACCTGGAAAAATCCCTTGGGATTCGCCTTGGATTCTCTTGCTATTTTGATTTCATAGTCTCTCTTTGCTTTCCTTAAATTTTTCTTAACATTCCTAGATAGTTCATTATACCTATTTCTGAGCTGCTCCTCCCCTCCCTTTAATTTCTTATATATTCCTTTCTTTATTCCTATGTCATGTTTAAGTTTTCTGGTCATCCACCTTGGCTCATTCTTATTTGACCTAATTTTTCTGTATGGTATATTTTGTTCTTGTGCTTTATGTAGTATACTAGTGAATATATTATAGTCATGATCAATTGTTGTGTCATCTATGACCTCACCCCTTCCTACTGGGGACTGACGTGACTGTTCCCAGGTGACCTCACCTAGGTACCTTCTTAACCCCTGATAATTATCAGCCAACCGAAAGTTTGGGACTCTGACCATATTGTCATTGTTTTTCGTTTCCCAATTTAGGGTGAACCTGATTTCTCTGTGAGCACTGTTACCTAGTTCTTCCCCTACTGTGATATCTCTGATAATATTTTCTTTATTTGTTAATACTAGGTCTAATATATTGTCACCTCTAGTAGGTTCTGTAATTAGTTGTTTCAAAAAATTGTCCTGTACTGCATCTAGGAAGTCTTCAAATTCATAGTCACCTACAATGTTGTCCCAGTCAATATTTCTGAAGTTGAAATCCTCCATAATGCATAGGTTGTTATATTTTGCTGCCCTACTCATTTCTTGCCATATGGGCTGAGCTGCTTCTTTGCCAAGACTTGGGGGCCTGTATATTCTGACTATATATATATATATATATATATATATATATATATATATACATACATACATACATATACATACATACATACATACATACATATATACATACATACATACATACATACATACATACATACATACATACATACATACATACATACATACATACATACATACATACATACATACATACATACATACATACATACATACACATACATACATACATACATACATATATATATATATATATATATATATATATATATATATATATATATATATATATATATATATATATATATATATATATATATATATATATATATATATATACACTGTACTTATACTATGTATGTGCACCATTTACTTTGTGTTTAGTTGGATGCACTGTACATGCCAGTGTTACCCGTTGACTCCCCACACCCCCTAAAACACCACAGGCGGTCTAGCTTAAGAAACGTTATCTCTTGGTGCCTAACAACAATAAATCCCTTGATCGGCGTTCAGCTAATTCATATAAACAATTAAATGTTGCAAAAATTATTCTTATTTCAGGGCCAGAATTTAACAATCGTCCACAGCGCCATACACTAAAGCAATTTGTATTTATAATTTCAGACAGATTGTTAGAGGCGCTAAAAACCGATTTATCTGCTGGGTACCTTTAACACTTTGCGAATTGATATTCACTAAACCTTTTTAAGTATACACGAGTTTACACAACGCACATTAGAAAAGTGGATTGATTAGCACTGACGTGTGTGTGTGTGTGTGTGCGATAACTTTATCAGCCAAGCTTCCTTTCTCTACAACAAGGAACAAATACCATGTCCAACAAAATAATCTTTCCAGATCTCACTAATTTTTTTGCAGGTAAAAGTCTTGTGGCTGTTGGCCAACTCCTTGACAAGGCAGCTCATGGACGTCCCCTGTTACCTTCACGATAATTGGAAGCTTAATGGTATTACTTGGTCCTCTCATTCTTTATCGCGTTTATTGTTCTAACAAATGTAAACAAATATTACGCTGAGTTTACTTTAAATTTAATAGTTTTGTTCGCGACGTTCTCTTCCTTACTAAACGTGT